TAGAAGATTGTGTGAATTTTGTTTGATGGTTAATAGTTGTGTATTTATAGATGTGTAAAAAGGTTAAAAATAAAATAAAATAAAAAAATAGATTTAAATCCGTTATGTTGCAGCCCCTAAAAAATATATAATTTTTTTTACCGTTGAATAACGGTTGAATTTCAAAATAAAAAATAAAAAATAAAAAATAACACCCAATCACAGCAGGAGAGAGAACGCGGGAGAAGTTTCCCTCACCCATTCCCGCACCACTCTTCTCCGCGCCGACGGTGCGATGTTCCGCCGGGCGGGAACCCCCCCCCCCCCCCCCCGACCCTTCCCCGCTCCTACTCCGTCTGGCCTAATGCATAAAAGTTACTCATCAACGTCAATCCACCATTATTTAAGATCCTCCAACAAAAATCATGGTATATATTACACCTCCAACTTTTCAATCTTTTTTTTACTGTGGAATCTTATCATACGATTTGTTTATCTTTAGACAAAATGAAAAAATAATATTTTTGGTTTGCATTTTTTTTAGAGATTTGACACTTTAAATTTCAAATTGAGAAACATAGCCTTTTCCAACAAATTTTGTTGTTGATTTGGTTTCACGTAAAATTGAAATGACTATCTTATCATTATTATATTTATTTTCTAATTTTCTTTCTTTTCTAAGAATTTTGTTATTATTAAATCAAAAGTTACATGATCATTATGTATGAGAGAGAGAAAGAGAGAGACGTTAACTCCCCATATCTCTATAAGAAACATTTATGAAAAAGAAATATTTTAAAAAGTCTATTTTATTTTGCATTGATTATCGTAAATAAAATAAAAAAGTCAATAAACTAAAACATATAAAATGTAGTATTTATATTAAATGTGCAGGTTTTAAACAAATGAAAGACGGTTCGAGTTAATTTTTAAAATTAGAGACCGAACATGTCTTTTGTCACTTACTCGAGGAACGATTCGTGTAATTACCTTAAACTAAAACATATAAAATGTAGTATTTATATAAATAAAAATAGAACAACTTTAATCATCATGGAGATACATTTTATTTAATATATGCTATCTAAACTTTATCTAAAATAGTTAAACTAAAATACATACTTCAATATTTTTATTTTATATTTTCTTTGCCTAAATTATAGAAACATGATTTTTTTATTTTTAATTTTTACCTGATAGAATTTGAGAGATCTATTTTAAGTAGGGCTCTAAACGAACTGAACATTCGGCGAATCGTTCGTGAACTGTTCGGCGGGAAGTTCGTTTATGTTCGTTTATTTAATAAATGACGAACATGAACAAAAATTATCGTTCGTTTAGTTAAACAAACGAACATGAACAATGGTCTCGTTCGTTCATTTATGTTCGTGAATGTTCGTTTATGATGTTTGTTTGCGTTCATTTATGTTCGTTCGTTTAAGTTTATTTATATTCATCTATATTCAATTAATTTTTATTATATTGCTATATTATATGTTCGTTTATGTTCATAGATGTTCAATTGTGTTTTTTTTATCTTTGTTCGTTTATGTTTGTTCGTTTATGTTCGTTTAGCATGTTCACGAACATAAATGAACGAACACGAATAAAGTAATTTGTTAAACGAACGAACATGAACAAGAAAATCTTGTTCGTTTATCCGTTCGTGTTCGTTTGTTGTTCGGCTATCTTAATGAACGAACATGAACAAGACCTTGTTCGTGTTCGTTTGGTTTATTTACAGCTCTAATTTTAAGATCTTATTATGGTTAGTTATGTTAGGATGTTGTAAGTGAAAAAAGAGGCTAAAGTGATTATAAATAAGCATTTAAGTATTTTATTATTAGCTAACAAAAGTTTTTTATTTTGCATTGAAAAATTTATGTCCTTTATATAAAGATTATGTTCAAAATTTGATACAACTAAATAATTTTATTAAAAAAAAATTGACATAATAAAAAACTTATCGTATTTTATACATATTTAACTTTTAACCATACCAATTAAACGAATTAGTTGAATTTTATTTTGTTGTATTTCAGTTAATATTTTTAAAATCAGTAGTTTGCATCGATGTTTTTTAGTTGAAGAAAAAAATTTATTTGTATTTTGAAATCAAAATAGAAATATACTTTTAACTTTTACTCAAACTACATACTTATATTTTTAAAACAAAATAACAAAATAGTAGTATTTTTATACTAATATTTTTTTATAATAGTTGATCATATATTTATAAAAATAAATATATTTAAATAAGAAAAAAATAAGGATAAATCTCTCAAATTATCTATAACGTCCTAAAAATACCGAGTAAAAATTTCATTTTAAAATAAGTCCAAATCATTCGTTTTTTTTTCAAAAACAAACAGAGTAAAAGTATTCTAAAAAAATCAGAATAAAATCATAAACAGTTAATGCAGAATAAATCTTCAGGGGATGCAGTGCAATCAAGCCGAACCCTTTCTTTTGAAACCAAAAGTACCTGAAAGCATTTGAAATATAAACCGTAAGTACATGGCTTACTGAGTTCTCCCAAAATACTATATATCAAATAACAATGGGCCCAGCCAAACATACATGCGACGGCCCAACCCATATCATTCGGTAGCAACCCATATCATCCTGTCCTAGCCCATATTATTCTGGCCTAACCCATATAATCGGGTGTAACCCATATAAAACATACATAATTGGGCCCAACCCATATAAAACATACCTAATCGATCCTAACCCATGTAAAACATACACAATCGGACCCAATGTAACATCCCAAAAATCAAGCATCAAATTTTCATTTTTATTATAATCAAAACATAGTTATGACTTGACCCAAACATTTAAAAACATTTCTAAGTAACACAATTATCATAGTTGATTCTCGAAATCACGTATAGCGGAAAACATAGGTGTATACGCTGCGATCGCCCCGAGCACTTTCATTTGAAAACTGGAGTACCTGAAACATAAACTGAAAACTGTAAGCCCAAAGCTAAGTGAGTTCCACAAACACCGTATATAATGCAAACATATTGCCAGGCATATGTCGTAGCATAAGCATATACACATAACAATTGTCAAAATATATCAGAGTATAATGCAAACATATTGTCAGGAATATGTGGTAACCTTTTTTATACTCTGATGCAGTGGGCAAGGCCCAGTATGTGCTTATATGCTTATGCTACCACATACCATACAATAACATATAAGCACATACTGGGCATTACCCACTGCATCGGACTGAAGTCCGAAAACTGCATCAGACCGAAGTTCAGAACTACTAGGGCCTTGCTCTCTGCATCGGACTGAAGTCTGGAATCTACATCGGACTGAAGTCCAGAACTACCCAGGGACTTGCCCTCTGCACCAGACTAAAGTCCGGAAACTGAATCGGACCGAAGTCCAGAACTGACTAAACATGGCATAGCATAAGCATAACATAGAACATAAACACATATACTGGATACTGCATCGAACTCTAGTCCGAAACACATAACACATAATCCTGCCTGAGTCACGAAGACATCAAACATACTACTACTGCATCGGACCGAAGTCCAAAACTAACTCAACATGGCATAGCATAATCATAACATAAAACATAAACACATATACTGCATACTGCATACCTTCCAGAGAATGTCAATTGATGTATATTAAAGATGAGATGAGCCAAAAAGACATCTTAATACCTTCCAGAGAATGTTAATTGATGTATATCCTTGCTTCCCGCGAGTTCCTAGCTTTGATTTACTTGTTTCCCTAAGTGTTCCTCACCAAGATCTCTCTTCAAATCTCTATCACACCAAAGAAACACACATACACACACAATTAGGGTTTAAGGGTGCCAAGAAGCTGTAAAGGGAGGCTGGGGAAGGCCAATGATTCTTTAAGTAGGGTGCGAAACCTCGAGATTTAGGGTTTCATCTGTCAGCTCCAACTCGTCGAGTCCGTTCTTGGACTCGGCGTGTAGATCACTAAAACACGCGGGGCATGCCAGACTCACACTGAGAATTCAAGAGTATTCCAGATATGAGCTGAGGGTCGAGCGGGGCATGCCAGACTCATACTGAGGACTTGGAAGCATTCCAGATACAAGTTGAGGGTCGGGTAGGGAATGCCTGACTCGTACTGTGGGCTCGGGAGCATTCCAGATACGAGCTGAGGGTCGGGTAGGGCATACCAAACTCGTACTATGGGCTCAGTGGTAATCCAGATGTGAGCTATGGGCTCGGAAGGCAATCCAGACTCACACTGTGGGCCTAGGGGTAATCAACTTTGTAATACTGTGAACCCAGTACATGTTGTTATTTGTATATGTGTTAGTTGCAGTGTATCAGTATTTTAGGGGAACTCATTAAGCTTTGGGCTTACAGTTTCAGTTTTTGTTTCATGTACATCAGATGATCGCGGATAGTCAAAGGCGTGATCGTACAGCTCCTCATGTTTATAACTTTTTTTTTCTGGGATACTTTTATATTATACTATTTTGAAAACAAGTTTTGTAATGATTAATAGTTTTGATACATTTTTAAAAGTGTAAATTTGGCATGATTTTTATTTGTGTTACAGCTAGTCCAAGGGTATGTATGGTATGTGGTATTTTGGGGAACCCACTAAACTTTGTGTTTATGATATTATGGTTATTATTTCAGGTACTTCCGGTTTCAAAAGGAAGGGTTCGGCTTGATCGTAGTGCATCCACCCATGTTTCCACAACTATATGATTTTAGGATTGTACTTTGATAACTTTTTTTATTCTGAATTGGTTTTTGAATGATTGGAAAAAAGGATAATTGGAGTTTCTGGTTGAATTAAAATGAAAATTTTACCTTATAGTTTTTGGTCCTTACATCTTATTTTATTAGTTTCACATGAAGAACCTAGATACGATCTTAAAACATATAAAATACATATATAGGATTACCACATTTAGAAACCAAAATGACGTACGACCGACCATCTAACATTTGTTTCCATCAAACACAACATGCATGCATGCTGTCATATATATCATGTCACGCCTGAAGAATGACACCCAAAGAGTCTACGGAACTGCCACACTTTCCATAGAATCCCGAAAACTTACCGCGTGTGACCCCAAACGAGAAATCAGTCCCGGGGTTTGTGCCGTATTCCCCATAAGTTCTGATGTTGGTCCGGAAAGTCACTGACGTAATCACGGTGTGGTCACCAAATGATCCGACACGCCCACTAATCCCGATGAGATACTCATTGTCATCGAAGATGATCTGAAACCCAAATATAAATATCATGACTGCTATATTGTAAAAAAATAAGAACCTAACTTCGATACGTGTATACATGACAGATGAATTAGAAGCTTACCATATGAGGTGAGCCACCATCACCACCGAATTTTTCAGAAGAATGGGTATGGCCATACCCATCCTTGTAAGTGAAGCTGATGAAATCTAAAGCGTCTCCACTTCTTAAAGCTATCTTGGAAAGTGTTGAACCATCAGGTATTATGAATTCCCAGGTACGGGATCCACCCTTTCCTCCCCAAGTTGTACCCCATACGCATTCTGCATTGGCTGCCTGCATATGAATCCAGAATAAAATATATTACTAAAAGAGATGAAAGAACTTTAGCAATGAAGAAACGATGTAAACCTCACATTCCCTATTCAAATATGGATAACAAACTCTCAGAATATGGTGAAAGTATGTACCATTTTGGTCTGTGTGGAACTGAAGTTGTTTGTACGTCTAGTCCGTTAAGTGCTTGACTATATATAGACACCAGCTTAGGGTTGTATAATTGAATGGAGGAGTTAGAACGACGTGAGGTGGCATGTCTAAAACATTTCACGAGATCCACGTTTTCCAATTCCTAAAAGCTAGAGATGGTTGTTGGAAAAATAAAATTAAATCCGATTGATACAAAATATATTCAAAATAAAGCATTTGATTGAAAACTCACATGATGCATGTGTAAGGAGTCTAGGTGTGATCGTCTTATATTTCCTCGTGCAGTAATTACAAGCACTCAAGCAGACATAAAACAATAATTAGTACCTAACACATTGATATTTGATAAACAAGAGTCAAAAGTTTTGTATCTTTGCTTCCTGTTTCCATGTCTTGTTAGTCGTTTTTGGTATATTTCTAGCATAGCAGGATGACTTTTTATAAAACTTTTGCTGTTTCAGAAAAAGAAAAAGGTACTCCTATATGCACCTTTTCAGAAAAAGAAAAAGTTTCAACTTCAGATCTTGGCTCAAACACAAAAGCCTTTCCTAAAACCCACCCAAAAAGATATTAAATATGAGATGAGCCAAAGAGAAAGCTTAATACCTTCCAATGAATGTCAACTGATGTATATCCTTGTTTCCCACGAGTTCCTAGCTTTGATTTACTTTTTTCCCCAAGTGTTCCTCACCAAGATCTCTCTTTAAATCTCTATCACACCAAAGAAATACACACACACGATTAGGGTTTTAGGATGCCAAGAAGCTATAAAGGGAGGTTAGGGAAGGACAATGATCCTTTAAATAGGGTGCAAAACCCCAAGATTTAGGGTTTCATCTGCCAGCTCCTACTCGTCGAGTCTGTTCTTGGACTCGACGAGTAAATCACTAAAACACACGGACTAATCCGCTGCTACTCGGTGAGTAGGGCAGCCAACTCGTCAAGTAGACCTTGAAATCAAGAAAATTCTCACATAAACAGTACCTGAAATTTAGGGCGTTACAACTTGATTATTTGTATGGGCATTAGTTATGTTATATATCAACATATTATGTGGGTTGGGTTGAGGTTATACTACTTCGTGTGGTAGCCAAAAAACCCTAGAGTATTCCAGATATGAGCTAAGGGTCGAACGGGGCATGCCAGACTCACACTGAGGACTCAAGAGTATTCCAGATCTGAGCTGAGGGCCGAGCGGGGCATGCTAGACTTATATTGAGGACTCGGGAGCATTCCAGATACAAGATGAGGGCCGGGTAGGACATGCTAGACTCATATTGTGGGCTCAGGAGCATTCCAGATACGAGTTGAGGGCCAGGTAGGGCATACCAGAATCGTACTATGGGCTCGGTGGCAATCCAGATGTGAGCTGTGGGCCCGGAAGGCAATCCAGACTCACACTGTGGGCCCAGGGGTAATCCAGTTTGTAAAGTTGTGAACCCATTACATGCTGTTAATTGTATATGTGTTAGTTGCAGTGTATCAGTATTTTGATGGAACCCACTAAGCTTTGGGCTTACAGTTTCAGTTTTTGTTTCATGTACATCAGATGATCGCGGGAAGTCAAATGCGTGATCATACAACTCCTCATGTTTATGACTTTGTTTCTGGGATACGCTGATATTATACTATTCTTAAAACTGGTTTTTTAATGATTAATGGTTTTGATACATTTTTAAAAGTTTAAAATTCGCATGATTTGTATGGGTGTTACAACTAGGCCCAAGGGTATGTAGGGTATGTGGTATTTTGGGGAACCCACTAAGCTTTGTGTTTATGATTTTTATGGTTATGATTTCAGGTACTTCTGATTTGAAAAGGAAGGGTTTGGCTTGATCGCAGCGCATCCACCCATGTTTCCACAACTATAGGATTTTGGGATTGTACTCTGATAACTTTTTTTATTCTGAATTGGTTTTTAAATGATTGGAAAAAATGATAATTGGTGTTTCTAGTTGAATTAAAATGAAAATTTTACCTTATACTTTTTGGGTCGTTACATCTTTACTGTTTTTCCTTACCTTCTAGCCTCATGATTAACATATACAACAATACTATGATAGGTTTTGGAGTTTAGTTTTTGGTAGCGGGGGATGTGACAGTTTCTATTGGTTACCTTCCTAGTAAAACTTTGTTATATTATTTAGGTCACATAGTGGGTGGTAATATGTATTGGATTGCTTCATAGGACGATATGATCCTGAAATTTACTTATAAACTTTCGAATTGGAGGGATAAAACTCTTTCGGTAGGGGAAACTGATGTTACATAAGTTAGTTTTGGGTGCTACCCTAACGTACTTTATGTCTATTTTTTGAGCTTTGGAATTTGTTGTCAACCGTTTAGAAACTTTTCATAATGTTCTTTCTTGGGGATTGGGAAGAACGTGAAATGAATTGGGTTAAATGGAAGAAGGTATTGGCTCAAAAAACAATATGGTGGTCTCAGGGTTAATAGTCTTTTTTTCTCTAACCTATGCTATTCTTTTTAAATGGATTTGGCGGTTACTTTCATTTCCCATTGTTCTTTGGATTAAAGTGATTAAATCCATTCATGGAGGACATGGTTACTTGGTCATTATTCACTGAGGAGTGTTGGTAACTCCATTTGGGTATCAATTGTTGATTCTTTATGTTCTAAAGGTATAGATCTTATGTCTTTTTGCAAAATGGTGATTGGAGATGGCAAGCTTACTTCTTTTTGGTAGGATCACGGGATTGGTAATGACCCTTTAAAAAATTCATTCCACATATTATATGCCCTCGCGTTGGATAACCAAATCTATGTTGCTTTGAATATGCATCAACCGGGTTAGGTTACTTCTTTTAGAAGAAAACTAGACCGAGTTTAAAGAAAGAGCAATGGTTTGATTCTTAGATTTCATATCCTTGGTTATCCTCTTCATCTTCAGATAGGTGAAATTGGTCCCTTGATGGTGTCGGTTATTTTTTTCTGTCTTCTGTGAGATCAAATATTGATAAGCATTTTCTTACTGGGTACAAGTATTAGATGGTGTCGTGTCACTCCAATAAAAGTTAATGTTTTTGTCCTATTTGCAAGTAGGAAGTCGAGATTGTCACTCTTTATTCTTTGAATGTAAATTAGCTATCAACTTATTAAAACTTTTATACAGATGGTGGAATATTCATATGTCTTCTTTGTTTTCAGTGAAAGACTTGATTAACTGGGTTGGCTTGTTCTGTTTGTCTTCTCATTGTCAGGAGTTTCTGGAGGCTGTTTTTTACACTCTCTGGTGGTCGATTTGGAGTTGTAGAAATTCTATTCTTTTTTGTAAAATTAAGTCTAAAAAATGTTTGTTGTTGGATAAGGTGGTTTCTGAAAGTGTCTTTTGGGCTAATAGTAGGTATTATAAAACCAATGTCAATTGTGTTGCCTGATTGGAGGTCCAAATTTTGTTTACTGCTTCCATGTCATTGTTTCTTTTGTCTAGATTTTTGCTAGCTTTCAATTATATATTTGTCGTTCTAAAAAAAATGTTTGTCTATCCCAGGTCTAACTAGACTCTGAACCGAAGAAACTACACGTCTGAATATATTTGCTAAATTTTTTGCAATTATTCTAAATTCTCATCAATGAGAGTACTCTAAAATTAGTCACACGTAGTAGATTACTATCTTTGTAGATAAGAGCAATGAAATATTGATTATATCTATTCAAGCTCAAAAGTGACTTTTTAAACTCATTAATGGTTTCAACAAAGAATATCCTAATAACTTCTAGAAAAAAGAAAACTCATCTAGTGCAAAATATATGTACCTTCGCAATCTCACATTATATAGTTTCTTAATTTCAAAAACACAAATCACAACATCCATAAACTAACCTCCATATGAGATAATATTTTAAGCAAATTAGTAGCTTAGATAGGATGTTAGTTCACCGTTTTGAAAGAAAATAAAAATACTAAAAGTCACAATTCACCTATTCTGAATGGGAAGTCGAAACCTCATTCATCGGAATGCTATGAATGGTCAACCTACGACTTTTATTAATCAACATATTCTCAGGTTTATATTACAATTTAATTACATATAAAATTTGTTGATTTAGCCTAAAATAGAATGATCATATTAGCTCAACGTTAAACAATTCAACTTGCAAAGTCTGATTCAACAATGATTTGCAAAGATCAAAACTTATGGATTTGAAGGTTTATGTATACGAAAAATTAGTATATAGGCAAGGAAGAAGATGATTGTTCTTTGTGTTCTTATTGTCATCGTGTTTTTGGTATTCTTAATTGGTAAATGTTAATGAATACAGAGGGATAGATGAAAACACCAAAATACTCTCATGTGGATAGCATATAAAGGGTCTTAATTGTTTTCCCTTTAAGGCGGTTAAATTTAGGTGCCGACAGGACAGCCAAAAAACAAATGAATAATCAATAGTGTAACAAATGAATCATAAATAATCAATAGTGTAACAAATGAATCATATGGACTAAAAGATTTTATTTTCAACAACTGTAATTACTTTTAATATAATTTAAGGGAAGTAAAGTTTAATATTTATTTTATTTTCCGCTCCTATATCTCATTCCATCCCCAAGTTCATATTCCAGATATTTGATAGCAACGGATTTGGCTGTCGAAAATTCGTAATAGGTCAATTTTGTAGTGACTTAATTAAACCCATAGATTCCATTGAGCGACACAGCTCACTTGTATGTTGACTTTTCCTTATATGGTTACATGTATGAAAGGATAAATTGGAGTCCTCATCAAATACTCCAAAAGAAAAGGATCTGTCTCTAAGAAAAAATTATTGTGTGAACAAAAAAAAAAAAAAGAAAAAAAAAAAAGAAATCAACCCTAGCTACAAACTAAAAC